GAGATATTGCTAGGCTAAGCAACAACTCACAAAAGTTCACTGATCAATAACTAAAGGGCCAAAAACTGGCTAAAATGTCCCTTCTACAGTGTGGATTTCAACAATAGGGTGGGCATATGTTTCCATGAATCAAAGTATCATCGTGACATACACTGACGTCAGTGGCTATCTATATCATGTGGCCAAGCTTCAAACAGCCAAAACATAAGTTATGCAACCTCAACAACGCGTACCTTTCAGAAAGTGACTCGATCAAAAACCTTAAACAGTTGACCAAATTGTGGTCAGTACCTTTACAAAAGAGACAAGGAGTACACGACACCGGGTTGGAGGGCGGGTTCGGAGTCTTACCTCTAACGGCAGTGGTAGGGCTGGGGGTGTTTACGTTGGTAGCCAAACTCATATGAGTTGGCTGAGATGGCCTACTGCCATGACTAGGTTGCTTGCTGGGGTATGATTACCTACTAGCAGGCTAAATGGCTGGACTCGTGACCTCGTTTCCGTACACGGGGTCGTTTGCCTTCCGAGCCTCTTTTCTAACAAAGCCTACTAGTTGGCCAAATTTGACCGGCTGGTTCCTGATTTACTTCTCGTACACGATGCTCCTCCACCTGTCGTGCAGATGATATGTCAACTTCTTCACGATTTGCTTTATGTTCTTTCCGTATTCCAAGACGCCTACAGACTCGGTCTCTTCCACCGCATGCAAACATCCACGAAGAAAGGTTCCGAATTCGTCCAATAGCTTCGGTTTGTCGGCTTTCACGTTTGCAACGTGCACGGTTAACGTAAGACTGTGCGGTTTCGCTTGGATTGTCATACCTGTTTTTAAACTCGTCCAGTGCGGCCTGGTAATCACGCTCGGCGTTGAGGTGCGCATATGCCTGTGCGATGCTGTGTGCCTCACCTGTGGTGTACTGCAAAAGGTAGGTTAACCTTTTATCGGCAGAATCAGTGTTGGCACTGATCCTGGCATTAAACTGCCTGAAAAGGTTTGTGTAGCCCGTCGAATTTCGCGATGTCCATTGCTAGTTTTCCCAGTTCCGTAACAGGAAGGCTTAGGTTATGTAGGTCTGCCGTCGTGTCGGTGACAGAATCAGAGCGAAAAATCGAGCGCCCACTGGTATTCACAACAGGTGTCGACACCATGGACCTGGGAAAAAACGACTGCGCACATGGTTCCAACGATACCGCGCCACCACTGACAACGGCGGACGAATCAGCAGAGTTACTGTCCACAACCGAGGACGGATCCCCAACCTTCGCCTCAGTCACTATGCAAACGTTACTTGCGGCTTGCTGCTCGTGATAGCGTCCATCTCCGCCAGCGACCGATTGTCTCTTAGTTCACTATTTTCCAATTCTTCCAGCACTCGTGCTCTAGCCTCACTCACGTTAATTTCCGTTTCAATGTTGTGTTCTTCCTCGTTTAGAGCCAGTTCGAGTTTAGCGTGCTGTATTTTTTTCTGCTTTAGAGCCTTCGCTCGCGCCAAAAAACTCTCGCTTTCTTTTGTTCCTCTTTTGTTTCACCATTACGTGTACAGATAACAACAGTAACAAATAACAATAAACTACTATTTCATCCAGAAATATCACCCACAAACACAGGGATTGTGTNTTTTTTTTTCCCGCCCGGAAAAGCGCTTTTTGCCACTACCAAATTGTGTCTGCATTGCGCAGTGGACTGATAATGTACGGCATGTGTAAACTTGCTGTTGGGACAATCAGCCTTGTCTGACGGGTCAGACACGACAGCCTCGACGAAGATGATTTCACTCTCGACGCGGAGCAAAATACCGATTCTGAGCAAAATATGGATGCGCATCTAAAAGGATACTTTCGTGATGTTTTTTCAGACGTACAGCATGAGTTAGTATGTGTTTAATTTCATGCCTGTATTGTGTCAATTGTGTTAAAAATAACTGGTAATAACAATGTATAATATAACAAGGCGTGTTAAAATTGACTGGGGTATATAACATGTATACATTAACAAGGCGTATTTAATCTGGATGATCATTTAATGATAAGCATAATTATGATAACCCTAGTGGGAGCAATTTTTACATGTATTGTGAAATAGTAATGTACTCTGATGTTACATACTACATGGATACTAGCTAATACAAAAATTAAACCTAAAACCTAAAATGTTTAAAATCTAAGTTTTGTTCGGCAAATATCAAATTACGAGGTATGGTTGAACTTTGCCCAAGATATGTCCACAACAACCACCATATTACAAAGTAATGATAATATTCGAATGAAGCTGGTCTCTTGTGAAGTTTTTGATGGTAATATGTTACTATGGGAGTTTTCATTTTGTGAATTATTGACAAACGTGCAATGTGAAATTTGGAAGTCAAGCGATTTGCGGCACTTTTTCACTAAAGTTAAGACATATTTTTGGTCATTATATCAAATTTTGACAAAATAAGCGCCACAAATGTTTATATTGGTATTACATATTAGTTGCATCCAGTAGGCAATTTATTGGCACTATGTATCGGCTTAACAAAATATTTATTTCAATTTCTACCAATATCACATATTTTGGAAAGCGAAGAGGGTATAAATAGTTTTTTTTTTAATTGTCGAGTGATAACACAGAGAGGCCGAGAGTTATACACTGTATACATTTTATTTCATATCTAGGGATATCTATCTTGCCTTAAAATCACACTGAGCCTTACTCCATCTGTATGGTAGCCGCCGGTCAATTTGGGGTCTGGCTCATAGCCTATTAAAGAGTTTTGTTCAAAATAAGAACTATCGCGATAAATAATAGCAATATACGACTTTGAAATTTTTTGACTAGTCAGTCAAAGGGTGTTGGGGTTTCATATGCCAGAGGCTTTCCATTGAAATGCCGCGTGAAATTGTCAATGGAATGTGTGTTTTTGACCCAAAAAAATGTCTTCGCTCTTACATGCCACCCTCCCTGATCAATCACGCATTCACAGGCGTAAACAATAACAGAGATGAATTGTGTTGGAGGTTTTGTGGCTCTTGACGCACGTCATTGATGCAACACTGTTGAAAGATAGGCACTTGAAAGGTCTCAATAAAAAATATTCCCACAATTTTCGACAATGATGCCCGCTGTGTGCAAAATAGGTGAACGTATGTAAAACAGTATAAGCCCAGCAAACACGAACATTCTCGTAACATTCAGCTGGAGGTTCTAGTTGGTTTACATTAGCCAGAAATATTGCTAAGAACATTCCCATATTGTTATGCATTCATTGTTTTTACTTGGTGAGAGAGTTAATGTTCTTGGAATGTTTTCTTTCGTAAGCATTCGCTGGGAGGTTCCTAGTTTGGGTTACATTAGCCAAAAATATTCTAAATAACTTCCCCATACCGTTATGCATTCATTGGTTTTGACTGTTGTGAGAGAGTTTAGTTTTGGAATGGTTCGAAATCGTTAACCGTCCTCCGGATGGGTTCGAAACTTCCTAATTGCGTTTTTTGTGATGTTGCAACTATATGCAGCAGGTATGAAGATGAATTTGTTGTTTATGATTCATCAGATGCATATGATCATTTTTTGGGGATTAGCTGTTGGGGTATAATGCTCGAGGCTACGGTGGCATTGCCATTGGCGATGCGTCGCTTTGCCCACAAAATACTGGCGTTGGAAATATTCCCGAGATTTTAATTTTGAAGTCCATTAGATTTCTTGATGAGGGGGCTAAAAAACACTCGATTTGAAGTATGAAGCATGACATTATTGTGCCAGCTGCTACACCAGTGGTTGGCGATTGATTGTCCAGTTCAGTGGCAAAATATGAAAGAAAAAATGTTATAGCACATAGATTAATTTGGGTACTATTAACACGCGTATAATAAGATAGCCAAGTCGTTTAGAGTTAGTTGCTTAAGTTAGCGTTAAGGTAAGGTTGGGTAGGAATAGGATAGGGTGACCGTTTGTTCTGTGTGTGGGACTGCCGTACCCGTAGCCTCCGAGACATCTAGTGATACGGCTGCAGGGCGCATGCGTAAGGTGGCTGCCGTTAATTATGTCATTTTTGAGGTTGATCAATGTTATCTGAAAGTAGTGTAAATGTCACTGCCTAACTTTTGGGTAAAAACGTTCTCAGAATGTTATTGGAAAACATTCATGAAAAACGTTATTAAGAACGTTACTGAATAATTTACGCTAACCTAAAGAAACATTCCCATAACATTCAAGAACATATTTGTAGCTAGGAGTTAGTATTACTGTGACATATCCTGAGCTAATTGACACAGTAACTTGGTCAAATGTTCCATGCAACATCCTCAGAAAGGTCAGCAGCAAGGGCAAGAATGTGAAGAAGGGCAGAGGAGCCATCAAGCCACCATGATCGTCCGGAATGGCAGGCAGTGCAGACGCCCAACCGGCACACAAACGCGCCATAACAAGGGTATGCCAGCTATCTGCACTGGTCAATCTGAGCGAACTTGGTGAGCAAGTTACTTGACAAGCGGTACGATCATATTCCGAAACCAGTGTAAGGCAACATGCAGAGATACTACCATAATGTGGGAATAATGGCAGTGCCAGACAGGATGTAGGATCCTGCAAACCGCCCTGATACGTAGTGGGCTCGACGACAAGAAAGAAACGATGCCTGCTGTTGACGGTAGCCGTACCAGATGATACTAACATAATGGTGAAGGAAAGAGACAAACTCAGCCAAGTACAAAGATCTGGAGATCGAAATTAGGAGATGTGGAATACTAAGACGAGAATCTGGGGCTAGTGTGGTTGAGCGCCTACTCTATAAAGATGGTTTGAGAAGAACACTTAAGGACCTCCGCTGGCCACCACTGCCTAATGAAGTGCAGGAAATCGCAGCTACTGGGAACAGCATACATCCTACAAAAATTTATTGATTGAATCCCTATGTCCCAGTTTGGGGCACGGTCAACCCAGAAGCCACCGGTTAATGCCGTGATCCACTTTGAAAAATATAATACTACTAATAATAATAATAATAGTAATAATAATTTACCTGCAAGGGCGTGCTTTCAGCCGCAATCTGCGTAAAATGGACGATGTCACTAAAGTAGATGGAGACACTGTCAAACGCCTCAGGAGCCACTGATTTCCCCATTATCAGCTGCTTTCTACTTCCCTGCAGGGAGATGCAATAACACAACCAATAACTATGGCTGTCTTCATTATGCCAACTAGAGTTTCGCGCCATATTAACACACAGGAAATTACCACACATACGCTTCCCCATAGTCTCTTGGCTTTTATGTAAACAATTGACATCTTATATTACTAAGTGAACATCTCTGTTCATCGTTCACAGTAGAGATGCGCTGAAAATAATATTATTTGATATTAAAAGCTAGTAAAAGCCGGAAAGCACACGAAGATTCCACGTTCCGTATACAGCTGCAGCAGCAGCAGCAGCAGCAGCAACAGCAGCAGCAGCAGCAGCAGCAGCAGCCAGCAGTAGGCACAGTAAACAGCAGTCAACAGCAGCAGTAGTAGCACAGTAGCAGCAGTAGCAGCAGCAGCAGCAGCGGTAGCACCGTAGCAGTAGCAGTATCAGCAGCAGTAGCAGCAGTAGCAGCAGTATCAGAAGCGACAGCTTTAATGTCACACCCACACGCGACGTCATCGCGGTACAGCCAGAAAGGAATTTCTCACTTTGGGAGGATTTCGTAGAGCAGCTTCTCGACTTTTCGCTTCTCGTCCAGATACTCCATCGTGCGCACCTCGACCATCGCCTCCAAGTTACCGGCGTACTTTTCCAAAGCGGCCGACGACAGGGACGGCGACGCCGTTGTGCCTTCCTTTACTGCGCGCCGAGTGGTGGGGGTGGCGGGGAAAGAAACGAGAAATCTTAGTCGAAGGAAACTCATAAGGATGAATGTGTCATTTCATCATTTTGCATACATTTTCGTTGTATGTTGTAGCAGTTGTGCGTGCGTGTGTGCGTGCGTGCGTGCGTGCGTGCGTGCCGGCGTGCAATACCTAATCATCTCGTTCGTGAGCATCAGGACTTGATCACTGAAAATGAAGGTCGCTTGATCGGGATTTTCCGCCAGCAAGTTTTTAAACGAGCGTCGTCAGGCGGGTGTCCAATTCATCAGCGATTTCGGCCGTTAGAGGCGGCGATCCAGTCTCTGCCTGGATTTCTGTATCACCTCTAATAAATGCACGAACAATTTATTTTGTTATTTTGTAAAGAAGCAACTACGGGTACAAAGTAACATCTACAACTACGATAGTGGATTTCCTTCTGTTAGTATAATACATTTATTTAGATGAAATTAATTGAAATGAATTTCTACTCATGAAATCAGGAGTGATTAATATCAAATTTGTTTTCAACCACTGTTGAAGAACTCGATACTGTTACTTCGGTAATGTTACCATTTTAATCGCTATACGACATAGCACATAACCACAGCGTATTATGAGAAGAACTTTCCTATTACTCTATAGAACTACAGTTTAGCCTGTCAGTCCAATTTCATCCCATATCTACGTAACAGCAGAGGCCTAGCTAACTTATTTTGCCCTAAATGAGACGGGGTAAAGACAAATGCGCGCTTATGATTTCCACAGATGACGTGGGCAGAACTTCGACATTGGTCATGTAATAATATCAGGAGTGTGTAATATAATTATATATATATATATATATATATATATATATATTATGCATTTCTGTTAATATCTACATTAATCTGGGGAGGGCTCTCCCTCCCCTGGTCCCACAGTTAGCTACGACCCTGAAGATATGTACTCAGGCGCACACGGTGACGTAGCGCCACGCTTTTCGGTCCGTCTATTTGAAACATTTGGTAGGCCAAGCTGGCCGCGTGACGAATCTCCCAAACTAGGATCGCGACCTGTATACGTCGCCCTTTTGACTTCGTTCGACTGATTGCTGAATGGTAAACATGCTCCGGTGCAACGATGCGCCGCTGCGAATGCCGAAACGAGCCAGGTGGAACCAGGTGACAACATGGCGGCTCGTTCACAGTGGCATGTCGGTGCCCGAAGTTATGCTATTCGTTAATACCCACAAACAAAGTTTGCTGGGCGGGCTGGAGATGTTGAATTATTGATACTATATTCTTTGACACGCCGAATGATGACATTTTACAGATGTCTGTTTCGCATTTGGAATCCTGCGTATAAGTTATGAAACAGAAAGAATGATAGGCAGAAATACATAGACCAGTGAAAATAAAGTTACAGATTTCGTTATAGTTTAAATTTCTGACATACTGCATTTTGGTTGCGTTTATGTAAGAATCATTCACGAACTTTCACGCATTATTGCAGGATCACGCAAGTAGAAAATCGTCGTGGCTGTTTTAGATTTAATTATCTAATCGCATTATTTAATCGGGCAAATAAATGCGTAAAATCGCACATACATACGCACGCGCGCACGCAACACACACACCACCACACACACACACACACACACACACACACACACACACACACACACACACACACACACACACACACACACACACATACACATACAGACACACATATATATATACCTTATATATTATTTATAATTATTTATTTATTTATTTATTATATAATATCAGAAGCGAGTTAAAAACATTTGTTTCTCTTCACGCCTGACATTCTGATACTTACGACTATAGCATGTAGCCATGCCATCCTGCTCCATGTCAAGAATGTTGTCATCCCTGAAGCTCTGCAGTCCGTAATCGGTTATTTTAAGCACGAACTGTGCGCTTATTACACAGTTTCTCGAATTCAGTTTCCCGTGCCATCTAATATCCGAGTTGTGGATTTCTTGCATACCCTACGTGCAAACACATTCACGAACAGTCGTTAGCGGTGCATGTCCAGGTTATACAGCTACGGTAAACAATATATATTTGTAAACGAGCACGAGGGTATTTGTACCAGAGCTTGTTTTACATCTTCACTTTTTACAATCAATTGAGCCGTGTTATTTTCAACACGCGCGTTTTTTTGCGTTTCGCCAACGGCTATACCTCACTGAGAAGTCGAAGCATATGTAACAGCCCTTAATTAACTGATAAGCTGCTTATAGATCCTTTAGATATACTCCGAAAAATGGTCGGTTCTTGTCATGTCGCGCAACTGTATACGTCAATATCTTTAGTCCCCTGACGCTGATGATGCGACGAACATTTATGTAATGTCCGCCTCATGTAATGTTCTCCTTGTGTAGAGTTACCCTATTGTGATGCTCCCTTCATGTAGTGTTACACTCCTTGTTATGTTTGTCTCATGTAATGCTACCCTCATGTAGAGTTACCCTATTGTGATGCTCCCTTCATGTAGTGTTACACTCCTTGTTATGTTTGTCTCATGTAATGCTACCCTCANCAGTGGCGGTCGGGTTTATTGTACCGTGGCTGTAATGATACGTGGCACGCTTTATTCCTATGATGATAAAAGAGAGCGCTTCTTCTCTTCAGCTTCGCCGAGATGGTTCGGCGAACAAGCACGAACAGGGTTTTAATAAGTCTGAATTTAACGTTGTGTAGCAAAGCCTCTACGAGAGAGCGAGAGAGGGAGGGAGGCGAGGGAGGGAGGGGAGAGAGGAGAGAAGGGAGGATTTAGAAGCACCTTAACATAAAATATTGCCCTAAAGTGGGGTACGACGCTCGGTGGTTTGGGGGGGGGTACTGGAAGTACGCGCAGCAGGTTTTAAACTCTGTTCCTCTTTTAAAATTCTATATAGCATATACGCCAAAACATGCGCGACGCACTTGGTACATAAATCAATATATATATATATAGTATATATATATATACTCACGCATATGATATCGTTAATGAATGCATGTTTGTAGTCCCAGTCGAATGTGATCGCCTCGTTGCCGATTATGTCATACACGTTTCCCTTCCTGCAGAGTTCGGTGAGGATCATCACGTGACCCGGTTCGGCGCAGACGCCGAGGTAGCTGACAAGATTCTCAGCGAGCATCAGCTGTTGAACCTTGAACGTACGCGTCCGACGATGCAAGATATATTATACGGCATAATATACGTACATGATCAAGATATACTATAATAGGAAACCAATGGGTATATGAGCTATTGGTTTTGGCACAGTGTATATTAAAGAGTTATCTCAGTGGTAATAGTATATATATTATGATCTACGTGAGGCTAAGGCTTCTGTGCATTAAATATTAACAGGACACGATGGGGGGGGGGTATGTGCTCTCAATCTCTCGTAGTCTGGCATTTACAGGTGCTGCTAGTACATGCATGTCTCAGGAGCCATACCCACAAAAACTGTTGATGTACGTGTGCGCGTGTGCAATTGCGCGTGTGCGTGTGTTGAATGCGAGTGTGCTCCCACAAGGCAACATATGCTGTAAGCTTACGATTACAATCATTGTGCGCAAACCCTGCCAATCGCCGCGGGGCGGGATCTGGGCTAAACTGAGAACACTTAAATGCCAGATTGTGTTTCTTTAAGAGTATATTTACGTATTTCAGCTCCAGAAGAACGTCTCGTGTGATCTTGATTTCATGATGCCGAACCATCCTCACGGCGCATTGTCGGCCCTAAACGATGTAACATGGCTACAAACAAACACAACACACACGCGCGCATCTCCCGCACGCACGCACGCACGCACGTACGCACACGCTCCCCTAGCCACACACTTTCATACATCATATCGCATACATTACACATATGAGATAGACGTACGCAATATTGATCATGGACCGACAGATTTTAACGGTTGTCTCAGAAGCAAACATGATTGCTGCAATTTTTTACATGCGGTTATCGTTAGTTAATATTCTTAAATTAAGTATAGCGGTGCGGTGATTGTTATATAGTGTCCGCCAAATTGAACACGCGCGCTGGGAAATATGCATGCTCTATGTAGACGCTTACGTTATATATGCCGATCCTGGTTACAGCGCCACCTGTTGCAGAACTACCGGAGATCTAGAAGGAGCGGCAAAGCGAGAAGGTAAACGGTGGGCATATAGGAAGTTAGTGTATCGTTTAATGGACGCGTTAAATCGATTAATATCGTGTTCCAATCATTCACTGATAACGCCTGATAAATGGAGATATGGTCTTGAAAGCTTTAATTAGTAGGCAGATATCGTATTTCCAACATACTTAATTAGTTCATCTATACATGCATACTGTCAGAAGTAGATAATAGGGAATTTCCCTGGTACCATGGAACCTGGAACATGGTACCATCGTTATGATTAGAATTCCATACGTCATGCTGCCATAGATAGATATACTATATATGCGTATTATACAATATATTATATATCAACTATAGTCTATATATATAATATAAGTCTAGACGTATCCATTGCCGTTTGGCAGAGATAATATATTACCCTCGGAACATAGAGCGAGAGTGAGAAATCCCCCCAACATTATACCAGAGTAGTGAGTGAGTAGTGTGAACGACTAGCTGGCGTTTCCTCACTAACCGCAGAGATGAACCTACACGCGCGCGTGCGTGCGGGTGTAAATGTCTTTGTGCGTAGATATGTGTGTGTGTTTGTGTGTGTGTGTGTGTGTGTGTGTGTGTGTGTGTGTGTGTGCGTGCGTGTGTGTGCGTGTGTGTGTACTACACATTGTTTTTGTTCCCGCTTAACACGTGAACTCGTCTACTTACACTATGCGAGTTACTGTCCTTGTCCTTGTCCAGGTTAGCCGCCTTGCTCGTGGTGATGTTCTCAACTTCATCGCTGTTCACTTTCCACCATTGATCACTCAGGTCCCGCTCTATGATAATTTGGCTACATAAACCAAGTGAGTATGAAGTACGAAGGTATCAAGTAAAATGTTGAGGAGGACCACGCTAATAATTATTAATTGGGCTTATGGTATTGACCTCTTGATCATCTGCCCAAAGAGCGCGTATTAGTAAATTCTTGAAAAATGTGTCTGCTTGAGGGATATCCTTAGACGAAAATCGTTTCTATTTATTTACTAGTATTTGCATCACAAAACATCTTAAAGTTGAAAAAAAAATATATATATATACATGTTGAAAAAAATAGATATCATTTTTTCATAATTAAACCTATTTCGAAAGCTGTACTTATAGATGTGCGTCTTTCTTCAATGTGACGTAACAAACGATTTTCATTTAATTTCACTCCTCGAAGTATCACAAGTACTACATCGTTTGCGTCACGTATATCGGTTCAGGTAACGTGAAAAAATTACCGCTGCATAGATATGTAGAGATATATTAATATAAATGCAGTGAGCAAAGGCAAGCCTCGTGCGTTCTTGCTATGTTTTCTCGACTTGCGGGTTGCATCGGTCATGCGTAAGCTCATTATGTTTTGTTGTTCCCTGCTTTTCAACTTGAGCGCGTTAAAAAATACAGATACTAGCAAAATAAATCACATATATATATATATATATATATATACATATATATATATATACGTGTGATTTATTTATATATACACACACACGTACGCACGCACGTACGCACGCACGTACGCACGCACGCACGCACGCACGCACGCACGCACGCACACACGCCCGCACGCACGCCCGCACGCACGCACGCACGCACGCCCGCACGCACGCACACACACATATATATATATTGATTTTGATAATGATATTTTGTATAATATATTTATATATATATATATATATATATATACATAATATACATAATTATATATATACAATAAATCAGACTTTGTAATGAATCGTGCGGCATCACCTTAGGACGAATATCAGCACGATGATGACGATAATCAGTATTGCGCTGGTGACGATGATCGTGATTAAGGTCATCGTGTTTATTCCACCTGTGAAAACACACAACAGCCGGTAATTTTCACATTCACACAAACGCATACACACGTTTAATATCTGTAGCAGTAAGGAGACAAACTAGTCACGATCAATATATTGACCAGACAGCATATATAAGGTATATTAAGTTACGCGTGCGTTCTCTCTCTCTCTCTTTCTCTCTCTCCCTCTCTTCTNATTTATTTCAAAATAGATTGCAGTACCTTATCGTGACCAGGGGCCCGTCAGAAAAAAATTTGTCTTAACATTAGTCGTAAATGCTATATTAGATGTATCACATAATTCTCTAAAGTATATCCCAACAGCTTTTGCGACTGACTGTATGTGTATTATTGTACATGTTGTTATTGTAGTAACTTATTTATTTCAAAATAGATTGCAGTACCTTATCGTGACCAGGGGCCCGTCAGAAAAAAACATTAGTCGTAAATGCTATCTTAGCATTAACAGTAGCCTTAACTTTGCGATGTTTCTGACAGCGGGCCCCAGGATCATAAACACGCACACACGTATGCACGCATCTATATAATAATTTGAATACTGTTTGTCTGTTTGTTAATCAAAAACATCTAGTCGTCTGCACGAATCCGGCGGAAATTCTTCGTTTACTATTTTTTATTAATTTTTGCCATTGAAAGTAAAAAAAAAAATTCTGAACAAAACATCTTTCAGAGGATGAAGCAGCCATTTTGTTTTACTGCCTTCTGAAAGCAGCCCTTTTTTGATAGTGTGGTTATCTTGAACTTTTTGTTTTAGAGTAAGGTTTCGTAAATGTATGGCCCTGTGACGATTTTCCTTAGCGCCGTTATGCAATCTTGCTCACCTAAAGGAAAATGTGTTTATATAATCTATAATAAAAAAATCGTATGAAATTACCATTTTCAGTATCGCCGTTTAGGCACTGTCGCTCACGTGGGTCAGTGAACTAAAATATCTCGGCCTATGCCGTAGGCCGTACAGATGCTTTTTGATTCTTGTGAACTGTTTTAAAAATATGTAGTTATTGTTTTTGTTTTTTTTGTTTTAACCTCTTGTGAACGAAAAATATCGATTTTGTGAGCAAATTGCCTGTGTTCACCAGCCATCACTGGGCCCGACTGTCGAGCGAAGCAAGACAGCCATTTTACACACAAATCCTACTAACCTGGAGCCTTTGGATTGCATTCTGGTGCATATCCTAAGAACCCACATACTGGTACATCGGGGGGAGTGGGCACGCCTCCTGGCCAATGAGCGTGCCTATTCATTTCGACGATGTCTTGATCTGGGTTGAAAGATCCTATCCTCTAGACATCGAAACGTAAATGCACGTGTAATGTACAGCGTAACGCACACATTTTATTCTATTCTATTCTATTCTATTCTATTCTATTCTATTCTATTCTATTCTATTCTATTCTATTCTATTCTATTCTATTCTATTCTATTCATTTTTATTCAATTCTGCGCTGCGCTACTGAACTATACTGTACTCTCCTCTATACTCTTATATATATATATATATATATATATATATATATATATATATATATATATATAATCTGTGGATCTGTTTACGGGTGTTTCACATTTTTACGGCGCAGCTATGATGGTGAGGTACTTACAACGAATTTGCCTATCGCTGGATCCAGGTCCATCAGCTCGTATTTGAATGTCTTCAGACCAAGCATGTTAATTGTGACGCCAGAAGTCACGCCTACACAGAACATAACATAGGATGGGTGCTATCGGCTTACACAGCAAGCAGGCCACCACTCCTATATCGTCGCAGCAAATGTTGTTGTAATCATAAACGTAACGTTATCATATTCGCCAAGATTATTGTCCTGTTACGAGAGACATATGAAGATTTATCCTGAAGAGGGAAATCTTTTTGCCCAAGAGCGAAAACTCGCGAGCAAAATGGCTTCGCGAAGCTGGTTTAAGTTTAAACCACCACACATTTTTATTGTACTTATTGACCGCTTTAGAGGGTCAGGCCAGGAACCCCGATTAAGCGGTGGTCACAATTGAGCGGGTAACACATAACAACGTGGGCACGGAATGTTTTTCAACGTCTTGCCGTTGAAGCGATGCGCCCCTTTGTCCGAGGTCTGATAAAGCGCGCAAAACTGTACTTGGCTTGCATCATACTTTCTCCGGACCACACACACGCACGCGCGCATGCACACGCACACACACACACACACACACACACACACACACACACACACACACACACACAATGTGCTTCACGAACAGAGAAAATGACGTAGGGTGTAGGCCTACATGACTGCGCTGTCGACATGCTAGAAGTGTGTAGACCAGATCTAGAGCATCAAGATGTTAAAAAAACGTACCATCTAATAGATGCACGGGAAATGTTCTATTCACAGGAATTGTTGAAAATTTTCTTCCATCCGTCGGGTCGATGCCATTAGTGATGGACTCATTTAGCGCTGCCATGTAGATGATAACGGCTGCATACATTCCCGTTACTGGTGTCGGGAACTGTGTCAAAGAATTTTAATACAACTTTCTCAAAGTGATTACTCTAGTTTCGCTCGCCTCTTGTTTCATGGCCGAGACATTGTATTTTTACTCATCTTTTCCGAAGAAACCAATTTTAGTATTGTCGCAGAACAGTCGACAAAATAATGTTGACAAACCGACCGTAAAAATACTGCATTTTATTCAAATAAAATTGATAAATATATTTACTAATGCACTTTTAACGTAACCTATTTTACTCTATGGGTAAATCACACGCTATGCTGTTTTAGAAACTACTTACATCCTTCTTACAACAAAAAAAGGAACCGAATAGAACCTGACTTTACGCGAGCCTTACCACAGTGGTATCGCTTTCGTTGTAAACATATCCGTAGTCTTTTAGTGAACGAGCTTTCACATGCCTAACAAAGTCGTTGAAATATGCTCCCGTCGACCGCCCTGTCTTCACGATGATCAATGACTCGTAAGCCCGTCTCGCCGCCTATATATGTATGTTTATATATATATATATATATATATATATATATATATATATATATATATATATATATATATATATAGTTATAGTATATAGATATATATATATAGTAATAGTATAGTATAGTATAGTATATATATAGTATAGTAGTATAGTATAGTATAGTATAGTATAGTATAGTATAGTATAGTATAAGTATAGTATAGATAGTATAGTATAGTATAGTATAGTATAGTATAGTATAGTATAGTATAGTATAGTATAGTATAGTATAGTATAGTATAGTATAGTATAGTATAGTATAGTTTAGTATAGTTTAGTATAGTTTAGTATAGTTATAGTATAGTATAGTATAGTATAGTATAGTATAGTATAGTATAGTATAGTATAGTATAGTATAGTATAGTATAGTATAGTATAATATAGTATAGTATAGTATAGTATAGTATAGTATAGTATAGTATAGTATAGTATAGTATAGAAGTATAGTATAGTATATAGTATAGTATAGCTATAGGTATAGTATAGTATAGTATAGTATAGTATAGTAAGTTACAGCTAAGCTACAGTACAGTACAGTACAGTACAGTACAGTACAGTACACGTACAGTACAGCTACAGCTACAGTACAGTACAGTATAGTATTGTATATGCTACAGTACAGTACAGTACAGCTACGTACAGTACAGTACAGTACAGTACAGTACAGTACAGTACAGTACAGTACAGTACAGTACAGTACAGTATAGTATAGTATAGTATAGTATAGTATAGTATAGCGTAATAGTATTATAGTATAGTATCAGTATAGTTATGAGTATATAGTATTAGTAAGTATGTAGTAGTATAAGTATAGAGTATAGTATAGAATAGTATAGTATAGCTACAGTACAGTATAGTATAGCTACAGTATAGTATAGTATAGTATAGTTATAGTACAGTACAGTACAGTATAGACAGCTATAGTATAGTATAGTACACCTATAGCTAGCAGTATTAGTGATAGATAGTACAGTATAGTATGTATAGTTATAGTTTGAGTACAGTATAGTATAGTATAGTATAGTATAGATAGATAGTATTAGTATAGTATATGTATAGTATAGTATAGTATAGTATAGTATAGTATAGTAGGTGATAGTATAGTATAGTATAGTATAGTATAGTATAGTATAGTATAGCTATAGTATAGTATTAGTATAGTTAGTATAGTATAGTATAGATAGTATAGAAGCTTATATAGTATAGTATAGATAGTTATAGTATTAGTATAGCGATAGTATACGTATAGTCTATAGTATAGTATAGTATAATAGTATGTATAGTATAGCATAGCATAGTATAGCTATAGTATAGTATAATAGTATAGAGTA